AAGCAGGCAACGGCTCTGATTTAGCACTTTTCCCTGATTTTCCCAACAAAGATCCCCTCTGGGGAGAATAAAAGTGCAAGCATGGTGTTTCAATTGTGCAATCCTGGTGGACCATTGCACGGAGGAGATATTGCTTTCAAATTCACTTTCAGCAACAATAGTCACTGGGACCAGTTCTGATAATACCACTTAAGGCGCCTCGCAGGATGCTGATAGGGATAAAATGGGGCCTTTCCTGAATTCTTTTGAGGAAGGACATGATAAAATAAGAGATCTCAGTATCTCATTACTGGCCTGGAATGAGGTCAGGCTGGCTAGAATTATCGGTCCTTTCCTCAAAGACACAAGATATGTGCTGAGTTTAAGCTGCGGAGCACATCTTTCGAAGCCATTCAAAAGTGTTGTAGCAACAAACCGCTTTCTAGAAGTACAACTCCCATCATCCTTATACTTCAGCCACTTATTTTGTGCCCTGCTCTCATTTTTATTCATAGTGTTTTCCGGGCTGGGAATGGTTACTTTGGGAACTGCATCTCGTAGAATCCCCAAGGTAGTTAGCCAGTGGCTATGCTGACTGGGGGATTCTGGGAGTTATAACTGGGAAAAGAAACTTTCCAGCACGCACATCATCCTTATGGCACTTCTTCAAAAGCATGCCAAGGCCCCCCTCTTGTTTCTCTGTACCCCTATTTTTGGAAAAAGGGGGGAGAGAAATTTGTTTCCATTAATTTAATATATTTTAAAAAGGATTTCCTCAATGTTGCACATTTCTTTATGTTCAAAATGGGAGGAAAGATTGAATGGCTGTGGGTGGAGGATTGATGTAAAACAAAGCCTTTGGCTTTGAATGCTTCGTTCTTAAATGACTAGGACTGAAATTCTTCAGTATTCAACCATATTAATACTGAGTGTGTGATGTGACAGTGAGAAAGAACCACATCTGATCACACTTTGCTCAGAGTGGTCTTCCTTAAACCAACCCTTCCGTCCATGCTATTTCTCTGCCTGATCATATCCTGAATTAAAGTTGCCACCCCCGACTGTTTTTTCTGAGAGGCTGCTTCACAAGCAGGTACAACAGTGTCCTCCTCATGGTGACCCTGGTAAAATTAGTCAGAGCAAACGGTTAAAGATCTGTTCAGTTCATTTTGAAGAATTTGCCAGCATTCATATTCAAGAGAAAATGAACTTGAGGTTTTTAAAAAAATTAATGCAAAAGGAGGTAAACAGATTTTCCTATCCCCGCCATCTGGTCCTCAATTCTATTAGCACCCACTGGACGAATTCAGCATTAATGGGAACTGTTATTTCACCCTGTTGCAGTAGAATTAAGTTGAGCCACAGAATATTCCTTGTTTAAATCAATACCTGCTTTCAGAAGGGCATTACTGAAATATGCAAACACCATCTAGTAAACTTAAGTCTTATTCTGAATCGGGTCAGCGGCCTCTAATAGGGTTCCACACACAGGGAAATTGAAACAGTGAAGCTCAGCTCTTGGAAACACTGCTTGGTGTGTGTGTGTGTATGTGTGTGTGTGTTTGTGTGTGTGTGATGATCACCTGGTTTACTCAAGGTTGCTCATGGCTGGTTGACATGACTAGAGGTCTAAGGCTTGGCCCAACCTGGCATTCCCATAGGACTTCAGAGAAATGAATGGGCCTTGTTGCAGGGAGAAGACCTTTAGGATCAAGGACTACAGTGTGGTGTAGTGGATAGAGTAACAGACTAGGACTCAGGAGGCCTGGGTTCAAATCCTGGTGCAGCCACATGGAAACTTATTGGGGGTAGGTGGGGAACTGGTAAAACCACTCCTTAAAATATCTCACTTACCTTGAGAGCCCTGTTAGGGATCCTATAAATCAGCTCTGATTTGAAGGCACAGAACAACAACAAACAACAACTTCTACTACAACTACAAAAACCTAACATATCGGAAAAAGCTCACCTTCCCTTCCACTCAGTATCTTCTGTGCCAGGTGTGTCTCTGTGTTGCACACACAGGGCAACAGTACTATAAACTGAGGGTTATGGCGATGTTTCACAACATTTTTGGATAAAATGGGAAATGCAGAATGTCATTATAAGCTAAATGTTTTATGTCAGTTGTAAGTGAGGGGGGAGAGAGATGCAATTAATTGAAGATGTAATTTAAAAGGCAAGCATTCTGTTAGGCAGGGTATCAGTCGGCCCCTCCTTGTGAGTTAACTCAGGATGAGGGCCATCTAAGCAGGCCTGTAGTTGCTGTCTTGGGATCGAATGGGAGGATCCCTTGCATACCATTCTGTATCTTGAATCCAAACCCCTTGAGTTGCCTGCGTAAGCAGGCCTGTAGTTGCTGTCTTGGGATCAAGACAGATATGGCCATGTGGATTCATGACCAACCTGAGCCTCAATTCAGAGCTGTTTGTGACCTATGGCTTTAGTTTTGAAGTCTAATTGGGGTCAAGGGCCAGTTGCATCCAGGAGGAGCTGCATGGAACCCAGTGGGACCCCCTTCCTGGGAATAAGTCCACATACTGACAGGCTGCCCATTCTACAAAAGTCTCTTTGAAGTCAATGTGACTTCTTAGCCATGTGACTGACTGGACTTGGGCCACTGCATGTGGCCTTGGGTGAGATGTTATCCTTCTCTCTTTCTCTTCCCCCTTTGAAATACTCTTAACTTCCAGATACCTTTCTACACCAGCCTGTCAATCAACAACCTCTCCATGTGCCAGTCACTGCACAGGACAAAGGACTCGGGGGTGTAAAGAGGGCACATGTTCAGTGCATGGGCTGATAAAGGGAGACCCCTTTGCCCTAGACAAAGGGAGAGTGTGACCGAAAATCAGGAAAGTTGTTTGTCTTGGCTTTGCTTCCACTACAAACTCCTAATCCACTGGCCAGCACAGTCGCTTTATTCTTTTCAGACTATGAAAATTACTTTCTGAACTACTAGGAGGCAGTGGAAGATAGGAGGGCCTGGCGTGCTCTGGTCCATGGGGTCATGAAGAGTCGGACACGACTAAACGAACGAACGACGACTCCCTGAGTTGTTCAGTAGTTGGAAAACGTACTTTTTCAACTACACTACTCCCGCCGCGTTTTTAATTTGGAGGGATTTTTAAAAAATCTTTTTTTCCTTTTGGAGAACTATGTAAAAGCATCTGTCTGAGACACAGCGAGGGCTGCAGCCCCCACCGTCTGTGTAGCTCTGTCGGAGCTGAAACAGCAGCTCCCTTAGGGTGCCGAGTTCAAGTGCAAAGCCTTTCTGATCCAAGGGAATGGGTCTGGGGGTCCACTGGCAACACACACACCCTCCCCTGTAACCACTTTAAGCAATCTTCCCCTTGACCCAACTCTCTGAGCCACACCAGTAGTTGGGTCTGGGAGGCGTCGTTTAAATTTCCCATAATACCCCTCACAGAATGCTCGTTACTGGCTTTTGACGGAGGGAGGGGGTTGGGTGAATGCCACCACTCCCAGCGCCTCCCCCATCATTGGTTTGACTTTAGGGTTGATAAAAGCTGCAGCCCAACAACATCCAGAAATAGGCAGGGGATTTTTAGATTTATTTTTTTCACTACAACGACCAGAATTCAGCAGGAATTCCTGCAGCTAGAATTCCGGTAGCTTTAGCAAAAACAAACAAACAAACAAAATCCTAGTTCTCCAAAGTTTCTGGATGCTCACTTGTTCTTTGCTAAGGCTCTGACTGGAGTAATGGGAGGCCAAGCATGGAGAAGGCCATGGATGGCGCCTCCTAAACTCTGTGGGAACTGCAAGGCATTAGGGGACGGTAGTTTCTCTGTTCATTAAGTTTTGGTAGAGAGTGCCTCTCAGAGAACTACTGCTCTCTCTCATAATGCTTTGCAGGTCCCATGAAGCTTAGAAAGCTCTGCTCATGTCCTTTCCCATGCTGTCATGGCTGTTGCTACAGACAGACCTTGGCAAAAACAAGGTGCGTATCCCGAAGCTCCTCTGAGAGGTCTGGGTTTTTGGTTTTTTTGTCTGTTGTGAGCGTGGGTTGGAACTAGAGTTGTTGAAAATTATTGACAATTTTCCAGGTAGTATAGACCCAAGATATTTTCCTCGCCAAGATATAGGACAAGACAATGTCTCCTGCTTGTTGCCTCTACAGAAGCCAGTTGGACCGGTAACTTAATCTCACTTTAACACCATGATGCGATAGGATCCTTTCTGCCATCACCTGAAGCAGCATGCTGGTTTGGAAGAGGGGGAAAAGGATGGGTTGTGTGGCATAAAGCAGCTCTCTTCATTTATACCACCAGGTCACCCTGAATGTATCTGACCTCTGATGCTAATTAGAGTGATAGGTCTCGATTTGTACCTGGTTGGGAGGCTACCAAGGAGGAGGGCCTTGACAGTGACGCGAAAGTCTTGCCTCAAAGTCTGGGGAGCTGCTGCCAGGGTGGCCCATACTGGACCAATGGGCCAGTCTGACTCAGTATCAAGCAGATCATTCCCCACTGAGGTCATTTCCTCAGTCTGACTAATGATAGGGACCAACATGTTTCCAGAATATCACTGTTGTTGTGTTCATCCTTGAGAGGGAAGGTGAGCAGCCTTGACTATGTCCAGGGTCCGTGGGGCACAAGATTGCCCAAAACCTGCATTACCACCAAAACAATCCAGAACATGGTTTCCATTTTTGACCAATGAGTATATTTCAGTACTAAATAGTGCAGGGAAGTCTTGCGAACCATTTCAAGGACAATTCACCCCTCCTTCAGGGTTTTCTACCCAAACAAGTGGGGGTTCAGGGAGAGCAAAACTAGTCAGAGGCACAGGCTGTGCAAAACGCCCATTATGATTGAGAGTCCATCACATATCTGAGGTTTAAAATAATTGCATAGTTTGGCTGATGCTAATAGATTTCTTGGGCTTTCAGATCAGGTGGGATCTCCAGTTACTTATCCCCAGATATAGATACAAGACACATGCCTACCATCAGGACATTTCTCAAGAGACCAGCAGAACATCATTAAAGTGTTTCTTCAAAGATAGAGTTTATTGCTAAAAATGTTTTGATCAGTCATGGTTGATATGTACACTGATACGTTGTAAAAGGAATATTCAAGTAAACATTTTCAATATTTTCTGGCATAATCTCTAGCTTTCCCCCCTTCCTATACACAAACATTGAAAATAAATAAACTGTACACCAGAAATTTCTTTTAACATCTCTACATTACTATATGTATTCCAAAGAAACCCAACAAAAAAAAGTCACTCTTTTATAACATCATACTTTTTTTTTTAAAAAAATCTCCTTAATCAATATACATTAACAAAAAACCTAGACGACTCTGAATATTAGTCTGAAGATCAGTGACATGTTTGGAAGAGAGAAAAAAACAAGAATACAGGAAACAGAAATTAAACATCTTAAAGGGATGTTGGGAGGTATCATAAACCATCTTAATAGGAAAAAAAATGTCCCCCTTCCCATCTGCTGAAGGAAAGTGTTCAGTTTTGAAAGGGTTGGGTTCAACATATGGTCCTGTATCGTCATAATTTTATTATTAATAACAACAATAAAAATAACCAACGAAAACACACTGCTGAATTTCCCCCCCCCCTTTTTAAATTCTCTATATTTACAAAGGATGGTAATTTTCCTTTTGTTAGAATGTTATAATAGGTATAAAAATAAACATCTTATTGTAGTGCTTAGCTTTTCTCTGGCCTGCACTGCAGTTCCTTTCAGGATATGCTTTTCCTCTCTATTTCAAATAATATAAAATAATTAGAAAAAAAATACAGTGCAAGGGGCCGCTAGAGGAAAAATGAGGACAGAGAAAAGAATAGGCAAGGTCTCTTGTGAATGTTGTGTCCATGTTTCTGTGTGTCTCGGTCATCTCCGAGGGCTCTCCGAGAGACTGCCAAGTTCCGGAATTGAACATCCAGGCCCTATTCAGGGTTTCAAGGTCATCTGTCACATCTGTCCGCAAGAGAGCTGGACATTCTCATGCCTCCACAGCATGCCTAAGTCCCTCTTTTTTTGATGGAACCTGTTCGGGACTGCAAACGCAAGGCCCGTGGCACCCATTCCAAAGTCACTGGTGTCGTTTCCAGCAGAGGGTTGCGGCGGCCGATCCACATATCCACCGAACAGGAACGCGCGAGGTCTCTTGGGCCCCTGAACGCCCCAAAAGTCCGGCTAACAAGAGCATTTACACTCTGAAATCACAGGGTACTGGACTGGGATCCAGGTGCAATACTTCTGCCTTGACCATCCTTGGCAGTACCACCTCAAGAAGGTCTTGGTGACCGATTTGACCGGCTTACAGTACATGCCTTCCGGGAAGGAACAAGACCTCTCGGCAAAACAGTTCCCTTCCTTGATGTAACGAGGCCAGAACCGGACTCCCAGGTCCTTCCAGGTGTACAATACCGGGCAATAGGTATACGCCCAAAGCCACTGCAGGAACTTCCGGCGGGCCTTCTTGCCCATCTTGAGCCTGGTCCCGTAGGGCGTCTCGCCAAGGTCCAGTTTTTTCAGCTCGTTGGGCAAGGGCCCCAACCCTTTGAATCGGTGCAACGGGTCAGAGCTAGAGAGGTTCATCTGGGCGGGGGCCACCACAGACATGAAGTGGGGGTCAAAGTGGCTCCCCAGCTTCTTCCTCAAAGTCCGGTCGTCCAGGTCCTGCTCCTTGGGGTCATACTCTGGGTCCGGATGCTCAATGATGTCCTTGACAGGCAGGTTGTCACTAGGGGAGGGCCGGAGCCGGAGGTAGGGCTGGCAGGAGCTGGGGCGAAGCAGCACCGCCAAGGAAGAGTAGATCAGGAGGGCTTCAGAGACCTTCATGCTCTCCTCAGCCCAGCTTAAGCCAGTCCACCAGCACTTGCAGACAGACCAGCCGCCTCCCCCCCCCTCCCCTCGCGCCAGAAGAGAACAGGCAGGCACCTCCGTCCTTTGCCGATTCTTCAAAAGCTCCGAGCTAATACTCCACAGTCCTATTTGCCAAGTCCAAGCGATTCATAAATAGGGCCGAGACAAAATCCAACGAGAGGGTTCTTGCTTTAAATAGATTGCCAAGGGGTTAGATGACAGGCGCATGTAAGGCTCCCCCTCTTGCACTCCCTCCCTGCTACTCCACAAGCATGGTGAAGGGCAAGTGGGGGGGGGGAGAGAAAAAAAAATAGGAGGAAAAAAGAGAGAGGGGGGTTGGCAGGGAAAAGCCTTGGGGGCGTGGATGGGTGGGAGGGACGCGGGAGCCGCCCCCCCTCCCCAGCCAAGCCTTCCCACCCAAAGGGCACCCAAATTGTTCTTTTTTTTCCTTCTTTTTTTTGTGCCCCTGGTCAATTCACCCTCTTCTCTCTCTCTCTCCCAAAAATTCACAGCGGACCGGTCTCCATCCCCATGGTGACAGCTGGACTTAGACCCACGACAACATGTCTAGACGGTATGACAGCGTTTGGCGTGGGAGAGGTTAAAAAAAAAAGAAAGCAAGCGAGGGAAAGTCACCAGCCGTGGGTCCAGCTGAGTCGGGTGGGGTGGGCGGCTCCCCACTTTCCTTCTTCCACCCCCTGGTTCTGCTTTTCTGTCTTCTCTCCCTCGCCCCCCCAGGACGGGGGCCTCGACGTGCAAACGCCTTGTTCCCGCTCGCTCGATCGCTCGCTCGGGCAAGGCGATCCTCTCACACGGCGGCCGCCCCGCACGGCAAGGGCCCGGCGGCTCCGGGGGAGCTTCTCCTCATGCTTGAAGGCGCCTTCCCGGCCCGGGCGCTGCTCTGTCGGGGAAACGGAGTGGCGGCTGGGTTGCAGGCAGGCAGGCGCGGAGCTCCCGGTCCGGCTCCGGAGGCCGACGGGCAGCAGCAAGCAAGCAGCCTTCGCCCGCGGCGCCCTCCCTCGGCTTCAGCAGCGG